TCTGACTCTATGTCTGTTCTAGGTTTGTCAGTTGGAGGAGCTGAAAATTTAAAAAATATGCACTATAGCTTCAGAAGTACAGTAGAATCTCGTTTAAACGGTGCATCACTTACAAGGAATTCTTTTTTGCTTTATAACGGAGCTTTTCCCCGGTCTGGACAACTTTGTGGTAGCGATATTTTGCTGTATTGTATGGAGATGCATTCTCTCTACAATGATTTTCTCTGTATAATGCATTTTTCTCTGGTCCCATATGTATGGTTATCCCCCCAATACTGTAAGTTGTATTTACTATAAAATTTTCTCTACAACAAATTTTTTTCTGGTCTCTTGAATTTCATTGTCGAGGGAGTGAGTCCACCTGTGTACTGCACTACATTCTTGCAGATGTGGAATCAGGTGTCTGAACTTCCGGGAAAGTTTTCAATGTCTCTGAAGATGACGTGTACTCGTAAGAATTTTCTTTCGTTCCTTTGTTCAATTTGATAAAAGGAAAAAAATCAAATAATTTGCTGTTCAGTTTGCGTCTGATTCACTGCTTTTTATTTTTATATTTTTTTCCTCCCCACTCGTCCTCGTCACTTCTGATCGATCCTGGTTCTCAATGCTTCGCTCTGTCGGTGACTGAGAACTGCGCAGTCGTAGGCATCGGTTGGCTTGTGTTCCCTCGACCTTCGTATTCTATTTATTCCTTGGCATTCTTTTTTTTTACATTTTTATTCCACGCATATGCATTCCCTGTGACGTGTGAAGTATGACTTATGTTGAAGGAAAAGGGGGGGGGGGCGCTGTGATCCGAAAGTTGCAGAGCTGGATTCCGAGTTTATGTCAACAACAAAAAATGTTGCCCAATTATTTATTGCGGATTTGGCTTCGGTTTCCGTTTTTGATGGGGAGGTTGACATGAAAATATTTTGCATTCAAAATCGTGGGCGTACGTTGCGTAGTCCAGAGAAATTAATTAACGAACATGACGAAATTCGAAGTACCTAACGAAATTGATTCACTTCTGTGTGCAGAATTTTCGTAATACCGCATGTTCTTTTTTCTTCTTCTTAGGATTGCTTTGTTGTCGATTCAATTTGTTCCAGACCGTGATCATGAGATCGTCAAATTTGTGTATTCTTCAGCATAACATTGTGAATGTATTGTTCATCAGAATGAAATTGGAGTAATCATGACAACTTGTTGCTCTGGACTTCCTGAATTTCATATATTGTGTAAATGAGATTATGTGTAATTTAACCCATTTTTCTCATTTCCTTCTGTTTTTATGAAAAGCGAAATCCGAAATAAATCTCGTTAACCTTCAAGCATTTTTTGCCGTAGGAATTTTTTCGACGCGGGACTCGCTGTATTCGGTGTCCACAAATTTTCTCTCTGGAGGAAAAGTTTGCTTTCAAGGGTTACGATGAAACAAATACGATACAGTATTTGTATATTTCTCGAGGGGTTCGAATCGATATTTTCAATCTATATTTCGTGGAGCCACAAGTGCTTTACATCACTTAGCAGATTTTCCGAAAAATAATACAGAATTTTGTAATGCCGCGTGTTTTTTTTTTCTTCTTAGGACTGCTTTGTTGTCGATTCAATTCGTTGCAGACCGTGACCATAAGACCGTTAGATTTGAGTATTTTTCAGCATACAATTGTGAATCCAATAGAAATTTGGATCGAGTAGAGTTTTTAGCGAGAAAAATGTTCAATCGCAGTGTTGATACGTTCTGAACGGGTACAATACAGCAGATACAGTGTTTGAAAGGGCTTCTCGGGTCAAAATGTTTTGAGTGACGCTTGATTGGAATTCTTTCAAAAAGAGAATGCGGCAAATTTTTTGAACATTTTCAGCGAGATGAAGTTGGCACGCAGAATTTTTTTTACGCCTCTTTCTTGCTACTGAAGCAATGGGATTGAAAAAAATAAACGCTAGGAATCCAGATGGAATTTTGGGATGACGCGATGTAAATTGAATTGCCATTTTTAAATGTACGCTTTTGATAAAAAAAAAAAGTGCTCATTGAGCTAAAATATGCGGTGTAATTGATTCTGCGATTTTTTATTTATTTTTTACTTTAGCGTAAATCTTCCGCCAATACTTGAGCTTTCGCAGGAAGTTTTTTCAAGTGCCTGTCGATTCTGAGAAAGGAGTTGTTGATGCCGACGTCATTTCTGTTTTGAATAAATTTTTCATGTAAGCGTGACATCCTGTGTTGCAGTTGCTTCCGGATTCCAAGAGAGTGATTCACGCAGGNGTATTTGGAAAAATCTCTACCATCTGAGGATTCGACGAAATACTGTACTGTAGTGGAAATCGCATCAAATGTTCTGACTTCGAACTTTTGCCAGGAATGCTCTTTTTTTCTAGAAACCAGAATCCATTTTTTGCTTTCAAAATTCATGCTGAGAGTTGAATCTGTCACGGAAGTGAGTGCAGCAAGATTCTTGAAAATCCTCATTACATAGTTCATACCTTATGAGGTAATCGGTAAAAACTCTCCTGATTGGAGGCAGTTTCTTGGTTTGCCAGTTCATGACGACGCGGTGCAATTTAGTATGCATTAATTAAACGGATCAATTATCCGCGAAGTGGAGATTCAGAAATTCCGACGAACGATTACGCGGAAATGACGTGATCATCATTACTCAAAGATACAAGCCTTGTTTTAATCATTTTTTGTTACCCCGGTGTTCGTTATTCTTTTGAATTGGGAAACAAATATGCTTAAAGCCTGTTTGTCTGCATTCATCTGTGTGAATTTTTTTCAACCTCGAATACGGTATTGGAGTGAACAGTACTTTTTCTTATGTTTTAGTGAATGTTACTTATATAAAATGAATCAGGTATCAGCGTCACCTGGCGGATTGACGTTGTGAAATCTGTCGCTATTTGCATGTCTTCTCACAAGTTTTCACTTTTTTTTTTTAGCTATTCGACTAGTTCAACTGGACTGATAACATTTTTGGCTCATCACGAAGTCTTGCAGAAGCAAACAATATTGTTACGAGCATGGTTATCTTTTCATGAACGGAAAATTTATGGAATACGTTGTCAGAAAAAAAAACAGCGAGCTGTTTTCATGACATCTTTGCTGTGTTGGCGCCTTGTCCAGTACAGTACTGCAATTTGTGTTGCAACTTTATATGAACTTGTTGTACTCGTAAGTCTTTTTTTTATTTTTTTACGACAGCCAAAACGAAAACGCTTGGTTTAAAACAATGACACCCGATTCTTTGGGAAATATCGTCGTTGTAAAATCGGGTCTGACTTTTATTAGTCCATGTTGAAGTTCTAGGATATTGTGGAGAAAGGAATTGTAAATTATATCTTCCTTCCGAAACTCCCCGCCGGCAAGGATGATGATGATTTTTCTCGTTACAATTTTATCGCCAGAAATCCTGTTTGAATTATCTCCACCACTTTTTTCCCCTTACATAGTTGAAGCATTTTTAAAAGTTTTGAATCGCGATGAAAGACGGTTCGGCGAGCGAGTTTGTGGGCAATGGGGCCGGAAGTGGGCTCAAGTTCCGCGTTGTCGCTGGCCGCAGCAAGGGCCTCTACGACGTTCCGGGGCGTAAAGCCGAGAAGACGTCACTGGTAAGTCGACGCGAATGTCGACCACGAAATATTCTCGTTTATTTTAGGACAGGGAAACTGCCAATTACCGGAACTTTTGATGAAGTGGGTATATGATCTGAATTAACAGCTCTGAAATTGAGCTACTGGCGAACATCTTCATTTTCAACACAGTAGCACAGTATGTCCCTTCCGATAAATGAATCAGGATCCGAGAAACGCTCAGAAATATCAGTGGGACTGTCTGCAAACATTAAAGGACTGTTAGAATTTTTTTTATTACATTTTAAATACCGTAAAGAAAAAATTAGCTGTCTTCGGAAATATAATTTTAACGTAAGCTGCTGTATTTCCTTTCGATTGAATGTGCATCCGGGAAACGCTCATGAAGGTTTGTGGCAATGTCTGCAAACATTCAAGAACTATTCATTGCTTACCTTAATTTTATGCCATTTTAAATGCCTTTTTCAATTTACAAACCGATGAAAAAAATTAGCTGTCTGCAAAAATATAATTCTAAAGAAATCAGCTGCACAGTATTTCCTTTCGATTGATGGAGTATCCGAAAAGTGCTCATGAGAATGTCTGCCAAAAAAAATTTCACGGACTATTTTCCTCATTATTTGCGATTATTTGATGACATTTCAAAATTCAAATACCATTTCAATGTTGAACGACATTCAATTGTGAAAACGGATCGTTGTGTAATCATTATTTTGGATAAATTCATTTTCACTGCTGATGTATGTGATGGCAAAGTCTTGGCTATAGGCCGCACAGTTTCGCCCGTGCGGCCTATACTAGAAATATTTGGTTAAATCTAACGCTTGCTTAATATTCGAGACAATGTCTTAATTGTGCTGACGTGAGGATTTGGAAGATAAAATCGAACTAATTTGTTGTCTAAATTATCAATTCAAGAAAAATCGAGTTTCCCCTTGGTGCTCATTATTCCAGAGCAAAATAATCCTACTGAATTCTGATTGTGAGAAACTTTTGGTAGCAGGTCCAGTGGCCAATAAATGCTGTTCGCGTTTTATTCATGCATAAGCCGCATTCGAGATACAGTATCGAGAATTTCGAAATTTATTTTTGGTGACGCATGCAGTTATTTTTCCTTCCTGAAATGGTTGTCTGAAATAGAGATGCGACCTGTAAAGTTGCTGAAGTACTTGGACATTTTCTATCAAAATTTATAACATTTTTGAAAAAGAAAAAACAGAAGAATGTGCTGGTCTCACATTCGACTTCCAACGAGTTTGACGCATAATTTTTATCAGCTTCCATTTCTTCTGTTGATTTGAAAATTTAGAGGATTGGACGAAACACCTTCTGTCGATTCAGTGATGCGTTATTTATAAAAATATATTTCTTGGATGAATCAAATTCCGATTTACATATCTTGAAATGGAATGGTATTGATCAGTCCTTGCATTTTCGAGTAGCTTCCCGCACAACAGTGATTACCATTAATAAGTCAATGATAATTACATCAATATACTGTACAATTTCCCATTTTGTTCTATTCGGCAATGTTCGTGTCATCGTTCGTTTGATGCAAGTATCATTTGTCACGAAGCAATGCAAGCAAGTGACTCATTTTGGGTGTAGATATCTGTGACCTTTCCCAAGGTTGGACACTATCCCATAATGATGAGAGAAAAATAATGGCTATTCTGCGATGTAAACACCGTCTGTCGGTGGAAAAGGTGAGTAATTATGAAGCCGTCATGCCTATTACTTGACCCGTATGAGAATAACGGCGATTATGAAACGTTATCAGTGTACTAGGAATCTCGGGAATTTCCTCGTAAATGCAGGTATTGCAAGGTGTGTGTTATTTGTTTAAAATGTAAATAAATAAGCTATTTCAGCCATCGACGATTACTTTTTTAATGTGTTGAATTGAATCTTTGGCGTTTTACATTTTGCGAAATCTTGGGTTGGTTCGAACGAAGGAGATTTGCCNAACGTGGTTTTTTAGATTAATTTTTTAATCTACTAAATTTTTTTATTTGGACATGTATTCAACCTGAATTCAACCGATCCTCTCAATTTTGAGAAACAAAGTGCGCGTGGCACTCGAGTAAATGCGGTAATATTGCACAAGGATTGGTGCTGAATTTTTGCTGGTACTGTACTTTATTGAATAACCCCGTACTAAAATAATATACAGTACTTTGTATACGGTATTTGCAATCGGGGGGGGGGGGTTCTTTTAGAGATAGATTGATGTGAGCAAGAGCTCTTGTCCCGAAGTCCGAAAATCCTTGTTAAATTTATTCAAGTACTGTGTGGGTATTGGTGAAATTGTTAAAGCCTATATTTTAGTCGATGTCCTAGAAGGAAGAAAAAACGATCTTTCGAAGATAAGAGTACAGTACAGTACAGTAGTTCAAATCGATAACGGTAGTTTACTGTGCATCTCAATTACGAAACCGCATTTATGAAACCATTTTTGAGAAATCTTGCTGAAAAGCATTATAGTACTTTGCTCCAAGGATGGGTACTAAAATTATTCAAAAAGGCCTCTCACTTTAGAAAATTGGCCAATTCAAAATAATATGCGTCATCTAGAAACCATTTTTGAGAAATCTTGCTGAAAAGCATTATAGTACTTTGCTCCAAGGATGGGTACTAAAATTATTCAAAAAGGCCTCTCACTTTAGAAAATTGGCCAATTCAAAATAAATACGCAGTAGATGGGTCATAACCTTCGTTGTTATTGAAATATCGCAAGATGTTCATGCTTTACTCTTAAGATTTTATAGCATATTTATAGTTTTAACTTAGGCACTAATTTGAGCTTATTTTATTAGATGAACGTTTGAAGCAACTGCAGTCTTTCATTAGTTGCAAGCATTAAATGGGGAAGAGTTCATTGTCATTCAATCACAGTACTGTATTCAAATATTGGCAAACATTTTGAAGCAATCATTTTGCGGTTCCTTGCAAAAATTTTAAAAGTATGATTGTCATCTCTTTCTACTTTCGACATTAATTGAATAAATTCGGTATATTCAAGTACAGCACTGTGCTATCAAACTTTTTGAAGCATTCATAGCGTTTATTTTCAAGAAAATATTAATCCAAATCGCAGCATGAGCCAAGGGGAGTACAATAATGGAGATCGTTTTAAAGGCAGCTTTAAACCCAAGGACGAAAAAAAAAGACACATTGTTGCAAGATATCTTGCGGCTATTTTTTTTTCTTATTTTCTTTTCGAATGGCTGTTCGTGGAATGTAGGCAAATAATTGATATTTTTATTTTTTGCAGGTCAACGTGCGGGTGACGACGATGGACGCGGAACTGGAGTTCGCGATCCAGCCGAACACGACGGGCAAGCAGTTGTTTGACCAGGTCGTCAAAACGATTGGCCTCAGGGAAGTCTGGTTCTTTGGGCTCCAGTACACGGATTCCAAGGGTTACCCGACCTGGTTGAAGCTGACGAAAAAGGTCAGTCCGCAGCACTTGTCTAAAAACTCTAGATCATGTATTATTCTAACAATTTTTTGTTCTTTTTTTTTTAAACTGTCCTGCTCGTGTAATTTCAAGTTTCCTCGAACCGCTTCCGTATTCCGAACAGAAATTTTTGCAAATTATAATGCAAGTGAATGTTTAATTTATGAATATATGTTCATTTTTTTCTTGGAAGATTTTCTAGAATTTGTTTTAATTGTATTTTTCCTTTGAAATTTTGCAACAAAAAAATAGGCTGCGACCTGCAGAAACGACCGAATATTTTTGCACTCGCTTGTAACTTGCATTTTGAATCAAACTGATCTCTTGAAACGTTTCGAACGATTTTGAAATCTGACGCCGTGAATACAGACGAACTGATAATTCAAATGAAAACTTCCGTACATTCAGCAGCTTTCGAGTGGCGCATTTTTTTCCTGTAGTCATTTTTCACGTTTTTTTTTTAATGGCCAATTGGAAATGTTTCCTTCAGAAAATATTTTTGATCCGAAAGATGGCTCGGTGAATTTTCTAAAGGCAACGCAGTTCAATATTTCGAAGCCTTTAAAAAATGAACATTTGATATAATTTTGATGTGGAAAATTATACATTCGGTTCGATTGAAATGGTTTTGGGTTTCAAGTCTTAGGGTTTCGGGTTATGATTTTTGTGCCCATTTTATGAAGGTGTCTCTGAAAAAGTTGAGGTAAATCCGTGGACGATCGGAGAATTTCCGCAGTTGACCAGATTCATATTTTTCTGTTCAGTCTCCAGTATTTGAGTTGAAGTTTTTTTTTGGTAGACATGGCGTCATTTTTATTGTTTTCGCGATAACCGAAATTGTCTGTAGTCAGATTTTCGATTCTGACGAAATTTGTTCTGATGATTTGGTCGCTGCTTTCGAAATGTGGGATGTTGGATGCCAAAAAAAAAAAATTTGCAGACGTCGACGATGCAAAGAGCCAAAGGTTTCCTTCGTGGTTCAGGAAGCATGAACGATTTGGATTTGGTGAGGATTTGAAGCGAATATTAGGAACAGAGAAAAAAGCTGCGAGTAGCTTGTGCACCGAAGTGAAAAAGGCAAGAGTAAATGTTGGCACTCTGAGAGTAGGTCGTCTGTTTGTCATACTGAACTTAGGGTTAGCTAAAGTACGATTTTTGTGTGTTGTCTTTTTGGGTTTTTTCGATTTTCACGAGGATTTTTATTTTTGCAGGTGCTGAGCCAAGATATCAAGAAGGAATCGCCGCTGCTGTTCAAATTCCGCGCCAAATTCTATCCCGAAGACGTGGCCGAGGAGATCATCCAGGACATCACTCTGGTGTGTACATTTTTCTGGATTTTCGAATAACTCGCAGATGTACTGATTATTTTTGATCAGCTCATATTTAGTGAAGCCATTCCGAGGAGAGATTTTTTGACAGCATTTGTATGAAAGCTCGGGTCTTCACTTGAATAGCTGATCTTTCCGTAATAAAAATTGTTTTTGGTTACTCATAGTTCCAGATTTTATCTAAATTTCACCGATTTCCTGAAGAACCTGTCTTCGTTAATATTACTGATAGTTGAGGAAAGAATTGGTCTTTGTCTTGTCATTCAAAGAAGGTCATTTCTCTTCCACGATCTGTGGCTTTAACACACTAACCCTCACTTGCAAATTTCATAGTGATAATTGGCGCTTTTGGCTGAATTTCACGAATCTGGAATAATAAGAATTGAAACGTGAAGCTTGGTATTGTTGAGGATTCGGGCGACATCTACCTGGAAATTTAGAAAGATAAATGTCGAATTCCGTAGTGAAAATTTCATAAAATGTCAGCCTCATAATGAAGTAAATTTTCCGGAGGAATCCCCAAGATGCACCTTAAGTGAGAAGAACCTAAGTATGGTACTGTACTGCGTCAACAGACTCAGTGCGCGGTAAACCTCTGTTATTAAATAAGTTTCTCAATCGAGTAATTTAAAACTGACGTATGGAATCTTTTATTTATTTTTTACTAAGGTTTTCCCTATCTTCGTAAAATTAGAGAAAGGAAACAATTCTATGGAGTTGGTCATCATGTCGGTTGAGAGTTGAACCATTTTGAAATCCCCTTGGGAGCCAAGTGCCCGAAGACAAAAGGACAATGTATCTTGAAGAGTCCACGAAATTGTTTCTCGTGCGAAAGATAAATAGGAAAAGTACTAGGAAACCATGAAACGCAATCAAGTGCGGTAATTATTATTATTATTTTTTTCGCTTGGAAAAATAATTTTGTTGGAATTCTGAAACTGCGATTGTTAAGCGAGGCACCCTTGCAACAAATATCGTTTATGAATGATTGTTTTTTTTTTTTTCATCATGCCTGGTTTGAGTTGGTGAATTGATTGACCTTTGTTCTAATTGCAGAGACTGTTCTACCTGCAAGTGAAGAACTCTATTCTCTGTGACGAGATTTATTGTCCGCCGGAGACATTTTTTTTTTCATCATGCCTGGTTTGAGTTGGTGAATTGATTGACCTTTGTTCTAATTGCAGAGACTGTTCTACCTGCAAGTGAAGAACTCTATTCTCTCACTGCTCTAAATAACAGGCGGCCTCTGCAGCCAGGACAACCGCAGAATGCGGCAAGTGCAGTTCATGACGCTAATGTGAGGCCTTCAAGTATGCGGCCCAAAAGAGTCGTTACTGGCAAACGAAGGGCAGCGGTGAGCACTTCCTTTTCATTAACGAGAACATCATGATTGTATTTATTTCGTATTTACTCGAGTACCACACGCATCTTTCTTTTTTTTTCTCCGAAAACGGGGGCTAAAAATGAGCTGTGTGTCATAGTCGGGTGCACATTTTCTAGTACATTTTTTCAACTTCCAATTTTCCCTCATTTTCGGATTGTTTTCGGAGTTCTTTTCAAACGATTCTTTGTTTCGCATGAGAAAGAACATCGAGTTGTCAGTGGACTTGTTTGGATTTTTACCCCATGTAGTTTTTTAAATCGCCTATGATTTTTGGGAGCTGAAAACTAAGGTGCGAATTTTGCTTGAGGGCGTGTGGTATACGAGCAAATTCGGTGTTTTGAATACTGTATATATACCGTATTGTACGTACAGTTACACCTCGAAAACTCAAACCTACCGCAGTCAAATATTGTACCTCCCTATGTTGAATATTTTTCAAGTCCGTGTCTGAATTCCCGTGGAAACAATGCAGGGAAAACCTCACTTAATCGAAGGTTTTCCTCCGTCAAACCTCCATAACTCGAATCCTATGGGAGGTCTTTTGGCTATTATTTTATCGACAGAAAATTAAAACGCAATCAAAATGAAACATGATGCGTTCTGAAAGGAAGTGAAAGAATTATTCGGCAAATATACCCTTGCCTCCAAGTTCAGCATCTGTTAACTCAGTTGAAGAAGCAATTCAAGTCCCAGGATATCACCAATTATGATTTCCTGTGATGAAAAATGTTTTTGTTCTCCAACTCGAATTTTTTTTTTTTTTTTTTGCTGATCCTTGTAGAGGTTTGGCTGTTTAGATTCTGGTACAGTAGTTTTAAAAAGTTTTAAAGCCTTGAGTACGTAATTTATGAAGGCTCCCGCTTTGAAATTACACGGCTGTATCATTTCATTGTACTGCAGTACTTCACTTGCCAAGGTCGGGCTTATAGAAATTGTTTAGGGCTTTTTTATTTTATTTTTTTGAGAGGGAGAGAGAATCTGTTGAGAGTCCCGGACGTAAAGGATTTATGTGACCTCGTTTTCATTTGAAATGAATGGGAAGCTCTTTGATTTGTCACCGGGATTACCGAGGTAGAATTTTAAATTTATTATTGAAACTTTAGGATGTGGTTGCCTGTAAATCGGGGTGAGGGGGACGAGATGTTGAATTACGAGTGCAATTAGCGTCAATTTTCATTTATTTATTTTTTCGCAGGAGTTGAGACGAAGACTTTTTCACGTCGTATTAATTTTTGTACTTTTTTGTTTGCCATGGCTTTACCTTTTAAGATTCCGCTGAAAAATATGTGATACTGTATTTCAATACTTGAAGGCATTCGTGGTAGCGTAATAATCTAGTGCTAATCCATAGACTTGTCGCACTTTTTTCTCGGATTTGAAAACCTTCCCTCACGAGCAATTGCCCATGTTTCAGAAAAATGTTAGGCCAGAATTGTTGAAATAAACATCCGAAAATTTGAAAGATTTAGTTCCTGGAGACATTCTAGCATCAGAACTATTCTCACATTTAACGTACTGTAGTTCGTTCAATTACTTAAAATTTTGTCAAAAAAATCAAATATATTTCCGAATCTTCTTAATACAGCAAAAAATAAAGATAGTACAGTACAGTACATGTCGTGAGCCACATTTGGGGATCAAGTTGAGATTTCGAATATTCGACGAAATTTTGAATTGAAAACTGTAAAAAAATGGTCCTGATCTGTGTAGGTGTAAATGAAGTGAAATCAACCAAGAACGGGTGTATGGTAAATTTGGCATGGGTTGAAAGGTCCGTTTAATTTTTCGGGTAACTAGGTTCGAAACGGAGGATAGTTCCGAATAATAATTTTAAAAAAAGAGCGTGCTCGATTCTATAATCGAATTTTCCAATCATTCATCTTATCAGAAGGCTTATTGCACCAGTGCTTCAGATCGGAAAATATAAAAAGAAAACTTTTGGAAAGTGTGTAGGAAAATCTTATTTCTGCGGAGTCGTGTTTAAGTGAAGTACTCAGAACCACCTGAGCTGAGAGATTTTGCCCTGGTCTGCAAGTACTGTACTATATGCTGAAGCGACATCTATCTGCCCGAAAACGCGTATTTCACGAATTAGGAAATATGCTCTGTGCAGTAGTGTATAGCTGCTATGTATTGTATTTTTGTAAATTTCCTATGCGTTGGACTTCCGAAACGATTTTATCTAGTCATGGTGATCGTACTTGATTGTTTTTCAAAATTACTTTACAATATACCCGTTACGAAGCTGACCTTCCTGTTTCAAGTACTGTAGGTAATCCGACAACTTTGAATAAAATTACTTCCTGTATTGCTCACACCTGGTACACAGTATGCTTTATTTTCAAGGCTCGCGATATTTGATGTGCTCAATTTGCTTTGGTTTATAGCTCATTCTACCCGCATTTAAAAATATTTTTATTAACCTTCGCAGAGTTATGGATCAACACAAGCTCAGCCGATCGGAATGGGAGAACCGGATCACGAATTGGTACAAGGAGCATCGTGGGATGATGAGGTACGTGACTCAATGGAAGTGTTGACTTTTTTATTTTTGAGAGAGAGCGGTACGTGAAAATTTGCGTCATAAGAGGGCTTCGAAATCGGTGTGAAAGTACGAAATGTTTCCGTTAGTGCTAGATAAGTTTTAAAAATTAAAGCCAGGTACTGTAGTTCATTTCCGATGCCCTTTTACTGGTACAAGAAGTTCAGTACTTCGTACAGCACACTAATCGGGAAAAGTACTGAAGCTTGATCCAGGATCGCATCATAGTGCATGAAGATAAGTTAGCTTCTCAGTTCTGTTTTCGTGTTCGTTTTCATTTCAGTGTGTGGACTTTTTAGAATATTTTTGCGTACACCTTTCCCTTTTTGAAACTAAAGGGTATATCAAAATTGCCTTAATTCTTCCGTCCTTGATATGTATTATTCCCGTTCTACAGGGAAGAAGCAATGATGGAGTATTTGAAGATCGCCCAGGACTTGGAAATGTATGGAGTGAACTACTTCAGCATCAAGAACAAGAAAGGTACGGATCTCTGGCTCGGCGTTGACGCCTTGGGCCTGAACATCTACGAAAAAGACGACAAGCTTACCCCGAAAATCGGGTTTCCGTGGTCTGAAATCCGTAACATATCCTTCAATGACCGCAAGTTTGTCATCAAGCCGATCGACAAGAAGGCACCCGACTTCATCTTTTTCGCACCGAGGTAATTTTTTAAAGATTTATCATTTTGTCATTGTTACGCGTTTAAATTACAGTACAGTATCTATGAATTATGCTTAGGTTTATCATCTTGATTCGTTCGGATTAGGAGTACAGTGAGACCCCCTGATATGGATGGTAATTGGTGCATCAGGAGTGTACCTAAGTTGAATTGTCCCTATGTCGAGTCTTGTTTTCCCATAGACTTACATTATATACCGTAATTTTAATCGGTATTTTTGGGAAGAAATATTCTTCAGAATTCCATAAAAAAAAATTTGTGCCACTTGAATTTGATTCAGTGAATACCTTTTAACCCAAGAAGAACATTTGGAGCATCGAATAGTAGACCACTGTACAGTTCATTGAAATGTTGGCATCTGTAAAAATAACATCCAAGTCACAAAGAGAGAAGGAAGTCCCTCTGTGCTATAGGTAATTTTTTTTAATTAGCTGTATGGATTGGAAAGTGGTGGGAAAAGTACCAGAGAATTTTTCTTGAATAGATCTTAGCGTTGAAAATATCTGTTTCTTGCAATTCAGCCTAATAAGTCAATTTTCCTAAAATTTATTGGCAATTTTATCATGCAATGTCCTCATGTCAAGTCAGTGTCCATATGTTGGGCCTTTTTATGATTTTTTTATTGAAAAGTAAATGTCTCTATTCCTCATGGTAAGTGGTCCGCATGTGGGGGTCTCACTGTAGTGCTGTACTATCCGCAAATCCCGTAATGGATAAACGACTTCTTTCTCCAAGAAGTTGTGTGGAATATGGGAAGTTCAGCAATCGGGCAATATTTGATTGAATACTGGAACTTGCATATTTTTTTGCAGGCTGAGGATCAACAAGCGTATCCTGGCGTTGTGTATGGGCAACCACGAGTTGTACATGCGTCGAAGGAAGCCGGACACGATCGAAGTGCAACAGATGAAGGCCCAGGCCAGGGAGGAGAAACTGCAGAAGCAGCAGGAGCGCGAGCGATTGCAGCGGGAAATCCAGGCCAGGGAAATGGCCGAGAAGAAACAGCTGGAATACGAAGAACGCCTTCGAGAGATGCAGAAAGAAATCAGTCTCCGTCAAAAAGGTTAAAATAAAATGATTGATGAATGAGCCTTGGTTGATTTCAGGAAATACCGGGATTTAGCCTAATTAAAGAAAAAAGTGGTGCCTCGGTTAATAGATTTACTCTCATACATCCGTCTCCTGACGAAGTCCGTTGTCTTAAAAATTTACCGTATTTACCCGAGTGCATCGCGCGCTTTTTTTTTTTTTTTCTTCAAATTTGAGAGGAAAGCAGGTGGGCGTTCGTCATAAACGGGTATACATTTTTCAAGAAGTTCTAGAAATTAACGTTTTTATTATAATTGATTCTAATTTGTACCAAGTTCAACAAAAAATGATCCTAATGGAAAGAATCGAAAATAAGTTACATTCAGGTTCAATTCATGTCTAAATACAAACTTGGGTTCTTTATTGTAGTTTTAAAGTATCTAAAGATGAGGTGCGCGTCTTACTCGGAGATACAATTTTTTATAAAATTTTGAATGAAAAAGTCCGGTGCAATTTTTGCTCAAGAGCGCGTGGTACTCGAGTAAAAACGTTAATCTAAAGCCACGTAGAATGAATCATTTTTTCTGGGTAACAGTTTACTCCCTTTCAATTAATGCCAGTAAAACATCAATTTTTTTTACATATCAATTTGAAAAGAGTAAACCACAAATACCAGCGTACTCTACCTACGAAGTTGTGCTCGAAAATGATGTTGTAGCATTTATTAAATATTATGTCTCAGATTTGAATTGTTTTGGTGTGTCGTACTCAAGATACACTTTCTTACATGTGTATGCAGTTGAAACGAAGCTGACTGTTCTTCCAAAGCGGGGAAATCTTGAGTGTGTGAGAATCTGTTGGTCAATTGATACAGACTGAAAACGCTGTTTTTTTTTTTCTAAGGCTTTCGAATGTTATTACAGTATTGTTGAAAGCGTGCATTAACCTGAACTTTCTTCTTAGGAAGTTAGTTTTGTTTTTATCTATTAAGATCCCCGTCGAAAAGTCATTTCTACATTCCGAATGATTGTTTTCTTCTTCAGAATTGGCCGAGGCCCAGGAGACGATTAGCAGACTGGAGTCACAGATGAAGGACTTGCAAACTGCCAAACAGGAGTTGGAGTTGCAGCAGAATGAATTGTCTGAAATGATGAAGCGTCTCGAAGAAGCCAAGAACTTGGAGGCTGCTGAAAGGGTTTGTTCTCTTGCCGTTGTGTTTCAATTTAATTTTCGAGCACAATGTATACTATATATTTCTTGAAGATTGATTCAAGTACTTCGAGAAGAATTGTATGTTAAATCGAATTCAGATGAGTCGAAGTTACAGCACGATTTATTTAAGAATTTTTTCTACTGATTCAAGTTCTAAAATTGAGTAGTTCGATTATGAAATACGATTGAGTATTTCGATTCTTTGTGAATTTACTGTAGATTACTTGTACGGATCTTCTGTTTAACTTCGAAGTAATTTTTATTATCCGAGCTTTTGAAACTGAAGAATTTGCGTTGTAATTTTTGCAGTGGAAGTTGGAGGAAGAGATCCGGCTGAAGCAGGAAGAGGTGATGAAGATCCACGAGGAAGTGGAGACCAAGGACCAGGAAACTCGGCGCTTGCAGCAAGAAGTGGAGGAGGCGCGGCGGAAGCAAGAAGAGGCCACGGCCGCCTTGATTTCGGCGTCATCCACGCCGCAGCATCACCACGTGGAGGAGGCGGACGTGCACGAGGGCGACGACGACATGCCTAATGGCGGCGACGTGTCCCGCGACCTCCGCAACGACGACCTGGCCATCCACGACCCCATTGAGGACCGCATCACGCTCCAGGAGAAGAATGAGCGGTTACAGAATCAGCTCAAGGTGAGGGTTCAATAAATTGAAAAGAGAAATAAAATAAAAAATTTGCTTTTGCGGAAGTGATTTTTAAAATTAAATTTTTATGTACTGTATTTTTGGTGCTGTGATGCCTGGAAACTCTGAACCGAATTCGGTCAGGCGAACGGTTCGTTGTTTCGGACTACAGCATAATTAAAATTTGGAGCTGATGATGAGTTTTGCAATTTTTGATGGTCTATCTACGCTCTCATGAAAGTGGGTTGGAGGCAGAGGATTCTTTTTCCTTCTAAGAAAACAGCTAAGGAAATTACGGCCGTTGGTCAATGGGGGAATTCGATTTCTACTGTATTTCAACTGCACTGAAACGGTCGCAACTCACGATTGTTACATAGAGATCCTGCATTAAACAAAGAAATATCGAATTGTGTTGCTGTTATCATGGTAGCGAAGAACCCCGTGGTGTATACATGGAAGCATCGTTGGTTCAGTGGTAGAATGCTCGCCTGCCACGCGGGCGGCCCGGGTTCGATTCCCGGACGATGCAGTGCTTTTTTTGTTTTTCCTCAAATGTGTTATGGGGAATTTTTGTGGTATCCAGTTAAAAGTTATATTTATCGGACCTATATTTTCGTTTTTGCCATTGTAGAAACTGAAGAGCGACCTAGAGGAAACACGAGACGAGCAAAAGGAAACGCAAATGGACCGGCTTCACAAGGAGAACGTGAAAATGGGTCGCGACAAGTACAAAACCTTGCGCGAGATCCGCAAGGGAAACACGAAACGCCGCGTCGACCAATTCGAGAACTTGTAAGAAAAAAGTGGAGGTAAAGAAAGAAGACCTCGTCAGAAGATAGAACGTTAATAATAATAATAATTGGAAAAAACGAGCCTCGCGAGAAATGAGTGAGAGAAAAAGTGCGATTTTTAAAACAAAACCCCCATTTTTCCCCGGCAAAAACGAAGAGAAAGAAAATGGGAAGCGAATGATGAGTGGAAGGGAAAACTGTTTTTGAAGGTGGAGAAAGAAAGTTTTAATTTTTTTTTTCGAGGACATCTTTCAGTTTTTGTCTCGTTAGTTCATTATTTTTCGTTACTTATATTTCCACCCCCCTGTTCAGAACTTTCCGGTGATGCTTAACTGTAAAACTCGTGCTGTCAGTATTTTTCGATGGCCGTCGGAGAGAGAAAAGGTTTGGCAACGCGGTGCCTTGAAGAGTTGAATTTGTTGAGTGTGACTGTATCATCACATGGGGGTGTGTCTTCGTGGTTTTTATTTATTCTCGCGGCTGTGGGACAGGAAAGATGGCCGCAATGTACGGAAAAAGGGGGTTTGTTTTCTGTGTTTTTTCTGCTCTGGGATTGATGATGATGATGGTTCAGCAAACTCCGTCCTGTTCCATCCACTTCCGCGTAACGAATGGTGATGGGCAATATTTTTGTCTCCGAGAAAAAAGTTTTTTTATTGTTCTCTGTTGTATCCTCCAGGCGGGATTTAAATTTTAAGCATGAAGATGTCGCCTGAATTCTTTCCAGCTAATTCATTTACATAAGTAGTGGTCAGGTGCCAGATTGATGCGACATCTGCCCGAAATGTTTTTGAGAACAATTAAGAACCTAATTTAGTTTCTCTTCCTGCGTCTGATCCCTTCTTGTCTCAAGTTCTTGCTTTTCCCCTGTGTTGCATAGGTTCTGACAGACATTTGTGGAGTTTTAATTGGGTTAATCATGTTTTGATCAGATTAGGATTCGCTCATGTTTATTCTACAATTTATGCTGGGGTTAAGTGGTGTAGTTTTGGCTTGATTATGTTCAAGAATCTGGTAACTCCTGTGAAAAATCATTGGTAGAATGGAAAATAATTTCCTTGACGTATTTCCTGCTTCATCCCCACCCCCATTTTGGGATATTTGTTGAGTTATGTTTTGACTTTGATTAGTGTGAACCGGGTTAAGGATTGAGGCGACACCTATCTGTTGTTGAAAAGTTCAGGAAGCGGAGTTATGACGAGTCCTATTTTCATTTACTTTTCAAATAGCAGGGAAGAGTTTGAGGCTAGGCTGAGTGCGGTTACGTTTTGTTTCAAACTGAAAAATTAAGAGAAAATTGACTTGAGAGTTCCATCACACTTTTTGCTTTTCGGGGAAGTTAAGTGGATGAAAATTGAGGTGCCCCGTAGATGGGAAAGTAGCAGAGGTGATGTGAGAATTTTTTGCTTGTTTTTTTTGGTATGCGAGTGGTGTGTGACTTGGGCTGACTATCTCTGAGGTTGTTTCGCCCAGTGCCAACGAAGAAAATCGAGCGTAAGTTGAAAGAAAATGATGAAAGAGAGAAAAATCTTGATTCTCAATGTTTTGTTTGTTTTCGTAAACGTTCCAACAAGTTTTTTTGAGTGGATGAAGAAAAACTGCGATGATCCAGTGGTCCGTTATATTTTGAGCTGGTTTTTATTCGTTTTTGCGGCTTATTGCTTCCTTGAGTATCTGTTGTACTGGGCAAGTTTTTCTTTTTCTTGGATTTTCCGGTTTGTTCGAATGCTGAAACGTTTTGTCTTCCTCCCTTTTCGCGGTCGTTTTGGGCCAATTTTTTTCCGCTTTCATGCATCCTAGATGGGTATTAAATGAACTATTGAGTTAATGAGGTCATGAAATATATTTTGCTTCTCAATATCTACGAACAATTTTGCCTGTCATGTTCTTGGCCATTTCCGTATTTGTGTTCATACTTCGTAGTAGTGATGCCAGGTCAACGGACTTCATCAGAACCAAGTCAAAAATGTTGGTTAGTCAGTTAAATGTCATGTCTGCGTTCTTGTTGCAGGTGCCTTATGCATGTGTTTGCTGTACCGTATTTAAAAATATTTGCAGTGTTTTTTATGAAAACATTTGGGGGGGCTTACAGGAATCGATGAACGTGCTGCTGTCGTGAAAATCATGATCAATGGAGCCGTGAATCCCGATTTTTCCCGGATGGAACAAAAACTGAAGAGTTATTTGAACAAGCGTTTAAAATACGATGTGAGTAGAATTTTGAATCCAAAAGTGGTTATACTCGTACCTTTTAAATCCCTTTCAGTCCATCATTCCCTCGTAGTGAGCAAAAATTTTTCACTTAGTTGAGGTACAGTAGCAGTGCTCAACTTTGTCCTGAAGTTGAAACTCTTCGAGTCTGATTTTCCTGTACAATATTCACTGCAAATTTATTTCGGAAAAGTTGAAATGCCCTTGCTGAGATTTTTACTTTGAAAAATTATGCTGTACATCAAATATTGTGCAAGGTACAGTAATTTGAAAGATATTGTTTTTATTGTGATTGAGATTAACATTGAATTTCTTGTTAATGTAATTTCTGTTACAGTTGAACTTGGATAACTCAAACCTCCCCAAGTCAAAAACCTGTCATATTTGATGCTGCAGAGCACAAGCCCTAGTTTCCATGACTCAAAAGCCTCTTTGCGCCACATTTTTTAGTTAGTCCCTTAAAATTCAATTCGCAGAGGTCTGAAAGAAAAATGACACACTTCATCCTTGAATATAAGTAAAAGCTTCATAGTTCACCACAACAATTCAACAATTTATATTTCTTCAAAAATCCAACCAATTGAATTCATTTGCAAGATTCAGAGACATTGATCCTTTTTGTTTCAACAAAGGAAAATAGTGTAGTTACTTACATAAAAAGCACACAACCTTGAGCACCACATGGCTCATGAAAACAGTACGCATAGCACTAATGCCTGAATTCAAATAATAACAGCTCTTCAGTATTGAATGCATTTGGCAGGAAGAAAATTCAAAAAGTTTCGAAGATAAGAGATGAATGGAACTTTCAAAATCACAGTGCAATCGAATACGAGTATAGCTCTATGACTAGAGCTCGTCCTTTTCTTCGGAATCTTGATCTACATCATTGCCATCTTGATCGCAAAATCTTGCTTCATCCGTGCACAATTCGCGTGCTTCATCCGCAGTCTCATTGACTTTTCCATATATCCGGATAATGGCTTCATCAAATTCCTCTACGATGGTCTCACACTGTGAACACATACATGAATGCCATGATGTGAGAAAAACATTCTGAGTGCCATATCCCATTTATCATACTGGCTCATGACGAAATACTCTCCATTCTGGACTAATCGAGAATAATTGTGCTTCTCAGAATTTATAGCTTCGCACATTTACATAAGAAGTGTTGGGTGAAGGGGTGGTCCCATAAATTTACCTCACGTAAAAATGGTAGTCATTAAAAATATCTCGTCATTATGAACGCAGTACATGTTTTGAACATGAGGATAAGTTGAAGGGATGGTATCTATGCTAAATCGATAAAACTACAAGTATGATGAGAGAACTTCGTGAGAAAGCATTTGGCAAATTTTTAATCGAGAGTTTTCCTTTTTCAAAGAACACAGTAGTTATTTTTCTTGTGCATTTGTTAGTTCCTTGTCATTTGTTCATTTTTATTCTTAGTTTTTAATTCGTGTACCACATGCAAGTATTGTGAAAAATTAGTGATAGTGCTCCTCAGATAAGGGAAACATAGGTTTCTTACTTTGAAAGAGGTTTAAAAATATGAGTGTACTTATTTTTGGATCCAAAATGATACTCACGTAGAATTTGAGACCCTTGTTCAAATCACTCTTCAGTTTGGGTTCAACCCGGGAAAAGTCGGGATTCATGGCTCCATTGATCATGATCTTCACAACAGCACGTTCATTAGTATCCCTGTAAGTCCCCTCGATGTAGTCATCAAAAACACTACAAACGTTTTCCAATAGATCCAACATATGTACAGTTGATCTCAAGTAAGGCACCTGCAAAAAGAATGCAGACATCTTACTCACTAACCAAAATAGTAAATGAACTTATAACAAAATAAATTAAAACATTTCATTAACTAATTGAGCAGTCAAACAAGTGCTGAGTAACGTCGAATTTAATCACTCTTTAACAATCTCAATGAGCATCTTACTCTACCTCACTGAACATCTATTCAAGCTCACTCATAATCTTACTTTAGCTCCTTTAACATTCAACTCTGTAACTATCATCTAACTGAACTGAATCAACATCTAATTTAACTAAACCAACTAACTAAACCTAACCATCATCTCTAACTAAACAAAATCAACACCTAACTAAACTGAATCAACATCTGACTGAATAATACTTCAGAGATGATAAGTCAAGATTCAAGTAGAGTAACTCAACATTCAGCATCCAGCCTATGTTCAATCTTAGTGAAAAGCATACCACGTTAGTCTTGACGTCCCCGTTGGAGCTCAATCGCCCGGTTCCAACGTCGATTTTCTTTTTTGGATCTGCCTTCGCAATTTCATCCTTCAGCTCTTCAGCCAGACTTCGACAAACTGCAAATAAAAATCTCATCCTGATGAGCATTTTGGCTTTCAAAAAAATTAAAACTGGGAGATTTTACCAAGACACTTGAGTTCCCTGTCGGCGAATCCAGGATTCACAAACGCCAATAATGCACAAGCAAATAGGAAAAGCATGTTCCGACGATGCCCTAAAAAGAATCTTCGTAACCTGAATGAGAAAATTTAGAGAAACAATTTCACATTTTCAAAAATTATAGAATTATTCGTGAATAAATTCAGCAGCTGTCATTAAAATCACATAAAAAATATGTTCGACAACCTCTGTCATTTTGAACTTCAGCAAATAATTAATTAAGGAAAAATCTGGACCAAGAAATAACAAAGGACTTTAACGTTCGAAAATTTTGGAAAATGTTGACCCTGACTTACTAAGTTTCGAAATTATTTCCAAGACGAGGCTAAAATTGTAAATGAAACAAGGAAAGGTAACATGTTCGACCAACTCAGCCAGAAGAATGTGTGAATTTCAGAACTTCAACTTTAATCTCTTGAACACTTTCAACTTCGGAGCGATAAATTGCTGAAATGCAGAGTTTTTTAGGCTTATCACAGATTTTTTTGCGCGTGTCCGGAGCGGGTTAAATATTTTTCAATTAGAACTCGAGCAAAATCTTGATCCGCGCGACAAAACTCATTGATAAAAAATTATTTTTGTCATACAAGGACCCAATGTACAGTAAATTCGATCACTGATATCTGACAAATGCATCAGATCACCATCAATTTCAATCTCTGCTCACACAACAGTAGTAAATGCTGACTTCCAGACCACTTCAACTGACGGAATGATGACGAAGCTGACAGTTTCTTACTCCCGGCTCCCGCTGTCTTTCAGCAAAAGTACACGTGTACATTCGCTTACGTTCAATGACAAAACGAAGGAAAGAAAAACAAAGACGCAATTGGATGAGGGCGAAGAGGGGAAATGGAGAAAAGAGAAACAAAAATTTTAGTGATGCAACGCAACGTCAGTTGGAGCACCTGCGTATTCAGCCATTGTTCTCGATTATGTTATGGTAGAATGCTCAATCCGAGATCCGTTCGTTTCCTTGCACATTCATTCAAAAGGAAATCGACGTAACGAAATTGTATTCGCAACAAAAAATCTCCTTACTCGTATCCTTCTGTTTATTTTAAACTTTGAAAAATCCAAGCCTGAATTACGGTTGGAGTCATACAAAATTCTCCAGTGCTTGAATAGTATGACACATGTTACGGAAAATGTTAGATTACGAGCCAGACCAAAAGTAATGTAAAATAGGATATAATTCGCATTTTTACATTACGTTAATGTTCTTATTATGAAGGTTAAGATTTATAGGGAAAAAAAAGAAAATGAGAATGTGGGACATCATGCGGAACTTGGTCGCTTTTAATTTCCCGACGGAAAACATTTTGAAGATTGTAACACAGCCGAAAATTAGACGCACCCGAAAAAATTTAGAAACACCAACTTTCACTTAAAAACAAGCTTTCGCATTCCGGATTTTACCGATTATCAATAAGATCGCAAATTACAGTGAAACGCCGACCATTTCATCCGTTTCTACGCCAATGTCTTCAAGCAAGGCCTTCTTTGTTTTCGGATACTCTTCCAACACGCCATCAATCATATCCATAGCCATTCGTTTTCGTTTGCGCCATTCCGTCATGTAACGAACTTTTCGTTTCTTCAATTGTTCCACTTCCTCAGCAGAAATCACTTTCGCTTTCTTTTTACCGGAATCTACGTNCGAGGCTAAAATTGTAAATGAAACAAGGAAAGGTAACATGTTCGACCAACTCAGCCAGAAGAATGTGTGAATTTCAGAACTTCAACTTTAATCTCTTGAACACTTTCAACTTCGGAGCGATAAATTGAATGCAGAGTTTTTTAGGCTTATCACAGATTTTTTGCGCGTGTCCGGAGCGGGTTAAATATTTTTCAATTAGAACTCGAGCAAAATCTTGATCCGCGCGACAAAACTCATTGATAAAAAAATTATTTTTGTCATACAAGGACCCAATGTACAGTAAATTCAATCACTGATATCTGACAAATGCATCAGATCACCATCAATTTCAATCTCTGCTCACACAACAGTAGTAAATGCTGACTTCCAGACCACTTCAACTGACGGAATGATGACGAAGCTGACATTTTCTTACTCCCGGCTCCCGCTGTCTTTCAGCAAAAGTACACGTGTACATTCGCTTACGTTCAATGACAAAACGAAGGAAAGAAAAACAAAGACGCAATTGGATGAGGGCGAAGAGGGGAAATGGAGAAAAGAGAAACAAAAATTTTAGTGATGCAACGCAACGTCAGTTGGAGCACCTGCGTATTCAGCCATTGTTCTCGATTATGTTATGGTAGAATGCTCAATCCGAGATCCGCTCGTTTCCTTGCACATTCATTCAAAAGGAAATCGACGTAACGAAATTGTATTCGCAACAAAAAATCTCCTTACTCGTATCCTTCTGTTTATTTTAAACTTTGAAAAATCCAAGCTTGAATTACGGTTGGAGTCATACAAAATTCTCCGGTGCTTGAATAGTTTGACACATGTTACGGAAAATGTTAGATTACGAGCCAGACCAAAAGTAATGTAAAATAGGATATAATTCGCATTTTTACATTACGTTAATGTTCTTATTATGAAGGTTAAGATTTATAGGGAAAAAAGAAAATGAGAATGTGGGACATCATGCGGAACTTGGTCGCTTTTAATTTCCCGACGGAAAAAATTTTGAAGATTGTAACACAGCCGAAAATTAGACGCACCCGAAAAAATTTAGAAACACCAACTTTCACATAAAAACAAGCGAAGCGTAAGGCCTAAAATGGCTAATAGTTATTCTAGCGTTTAATGTCACTTTGCGGCTGGTAAAGTAGGCAAAGATGCGGTTACAGAAGTTCGTTCCGGAAGAAACAAAAGCCTATGAGAAGGTTGTCGCCATCAATCATATCCATAGCCATTCGTTTTCGTTTGCGCCATTCCGTCATGTAACGAACTTTTCGTTTCTTCAATTGTTCCACTTCCTCAGCAGAAATCACTTTCGCTTTCTTTTTACCGGAATCTACGTCCAGTTTTTTCAATGCCTTCATTTCGTTTTCCAAAAGGTTTACTGCTTCTTCCACCTGGAAGAACATTGAATTTGTTCATGGACAGCTTTACAAAACCAACCGGTGACAACTTTTTTGTCGAGGGGAAATTACTCAGACGAAAAGCACTCGAAGCGAAAATTGTGAACCGCACTCCTGATGCGTGAAGAAAAGGTTTCAAACGACTCCAACTGCTTTGCTTCAATTAATTCGATTCATAAAAAAATTACAGTGAAATTCCGGTTTTGTAAGAAACTCGCTTCGCATGTTCTTGTTCGCACTACCAAACTGATCAACCAAGGAAATCGGTGACATTGATAGAGACCTTTTCCAATTTTGTTTCAATCTCCGGTAATGACATCGTTCCACCGGATAGACCAAGACATTCAGTTTCCATCGCTCCTATTTCGGCTTCCAGCCTACGAATCTCACCGTTACTGCTACCGATTTCGGCTTCAATTTTTGCTAGCTCATCTTCGTCGAGAGGCAGAAGAGACTGATTATAGAAGTAGATTTTTGACTTCTTGTTGATCTTTTCAACCACATCCTTCTTCTGCAAATGAACATTTAAAAGAAAATGTCTCGTGCCTTTTCATGCGAATCTGTACTCACCTCCACAAGGAATTCCAGAGCTTTGATAACGGCAGTTTTGCCATACTGGTTATTCAGATGCTCATTAATGTCATTAACGCCGAATGGTCTACTGGAGGATTTAAGAAACTCCAGCACTGGTTCGACCGCCTTTTTCGCGGCCATGATGGATTATGTCATTATTCTTTGAGTCTGTGCGAACATTCCAACATTTCAAAGCTAAAAGTTGCTAGTGAAGTGCGAATAGAACTTGCTCAGTGGGCTTCACAGGCATGCTTATATTCATTCACCTTTTTACCAAAATCACATGCGTTCTGTAATTCGGCAGTCAATAACGGAAGGACCAGAAGACACATTCGTATAGCGGCAATTTTCAAGGTCTGAAATTTGCGCGGGAACACGTGTGAGTGCGCAGTTTCCGAACTTGGATAAGGAGCATCTCCTGAATCTGGCCAGGAGTATCAGGCAACCCCAGACCAAGTGTTCCATATAATAAGGTTTTGACTGAAGAGAGACACCTGGACCCACACTACAGTAGTCGGTACCGTATTCTGAACATCTGATCAGAAATTAACAAGTGATAGTCGACGATTTTAATTCAAGTTTTCCAATCAGGATGCAGAGTTTCAAAAAGATACTTTAAAAACCCACTCTATGGGTACTGTAATCCGTTTCTTACGTAATGTCGTAACATATTTTGTCGCGTCATGTCATAGGGTTTCTCATGGGTTGTAATAAGGAACTATAGTCAGCTTGATAGCCCATACAAGTTATTCATGAAAAAATCTGCATTAGTCACTACATATTTCTCATCTATAACGCGCTGCGTCCTGTTTTCTCTTTACAGTTTTGGACGAAGGTGCTCATGATGCAAGAGATTAAAGTGTAGGATTTTACAGGTTCATGATTAGGCGACCAAAATTTGAGTACAGTTACTGTAGACCGATTTAACTCACTCTTCGCAGATTAAATCTGTTCCATCGAGTTATTTTACTTTTTGGGTGATTTCANAAAAATTACAGTGAAATTCCGGTTTTGTAAGAAACTCGCTTCGCATGTTCTTGTTCGCACTACCAAACTGATCAACCAAGGAAATCGGTGACATTGATAGAGACCTTTTCCAATTTTGTTTCAATCTCCGGTAATGACATCGTTCCACCGGATAGACCAAGACATTCAGTTTCCATCGCTCCTATTTCGGCTTCCAGCCTACGAATCTCACCGTTACTGCTACCGATTTCGGCTTCAATTTTTGCTAGCTCATCTTCGTCGAGAGGCAGAAGAGACTGATTATAGAAGTAGATTTTTGACTTCTTGTTGATCTTTTCAACCACATCCTTCTTCTGCAAATGAACATTTAAAAGAAAATGTCTCGTGCCTTTTCATGCGAATCTGTACTCACCTCCACAAGGAATTCCAGAGCTTTGATAACGGCAGTTTTGCCATACTGGTTATTCAGATGCTCATTAATGTCATTAACGCCGAATGGTCTACTGGAGGATTTAAGAAACTCCAGCACCGGTTCGACCGCCTTTTTCGCGGCCATGATGCTAATACAGTAATAAGAAACTCAGACACGCTTGTAAGGTTGTAAAGTTTCGATTTTCAACGATCACTTCACGCTTATCTTGAACGAGTCACCCGAAGTGTCCGTACGAATATAAGTAAGTGGAAAAAACCAAAATCACATGCGTTCTGTAATTCGGCAGTCAATAACGGAAGGACCAGAAGACACATTCGTATAGCGGCAATTTTCAAGGTCTGAAATTTGCGCGGGAACACGTGTGAGTGCGCAGTTTCCGAACTTGGATAAGGAGCATCTCCTGAATCTGGCCAGGAGTATCAGGCAACCCCAGACCAAGTGTTCCATATAATAAGGTTTTGACTGAAGAGAGACACCTGGACCCACACTACAGTAGTCGGTACCGTATTCTGAACATCTGATCAGAAATTAACAAGTGATAGTCGACGATTTTAATTCAAGTTTTCCAATCAGGATGCAGAGTAAGTTTTTCTATGAAATTTTTGGGTGAGATACCCATGACATTAGGCAAAGAATGCATTACAGCATTGTATAAAACAGCGCAGTACAGTATCCCAAAGAGTACCCAACATTATTCCTTGATATCAGTCCTTGATAGCCCATACAAGTTATTCATGAAAAAATCTGCATTAGTCACTACATATTTCTCATCTATAACGCGCTGCGTCCTGTTTTCTCTTTACAGTTTTGGACGAAGGTGCTCATGATGCAAGAGATTAAAGTGTAGGATTTTACAGGTTCATGATTAGGCGACCAAAATTTGAGTACAGTTACTGTAGACCGATTTAACTCACTCTTCGCAGATTAAATTTGTTCCATCGAGTTATTTTACTTTTTGGGTGATTTCAGTAAGTAAAGTAAAGTACAATGTTTAGTTTATATATAACCAGAATGGTCTCCTGTCCGTTAGACTTCTCGCGTTTCCCATTCGTTGGATCTCAGGTTCCTACAATTCAGAAATTGACCCAAACATTTGAGATTCTGAATTCACTTCAAGCGTCTCCCATTCTTGATTCGAGGTTGCGCGTACGGTGAAGTGGAATTTCGCGGCTTTGATTTTTGTGCGAGTGATTATGTGTCGGGATTGAAGAGCACTTATCAGCTCTTTTTATCGATCATGAGAGGATGTGTTCATCGTCGAAGTTACCCCTGACGATTCCATCAATTACGCCCGTTTTCTCCCTCTTGGCCATCGTTTGCTTCGTTGGTCTTAATGCTGAATTGATCAACACTCCGAAAAGTACAACTGACGGCACTTCAGCGTCGCCGTTGAACATCTCCATCTCACCCCAAGCCAGTATTTCTTACTGTGCGGACAATCATTGTGCTTTTGGATATCAGCCCCACTCCGCATTGGTTCGGTGCTCATTTCTACCGATCGAGTTTCTAGACTGCGAGGAACCGGAAGATTTGAAAGGGAATTATTCGAGGAAGGAGGAACTCGGTTACGGTTGTGTGAAGTTTGGAGGGCAGAGGTATTTTTGCACTCACCGTCTAAATTTACTGTTGTATCTTTTCAAGTTCGTCATTTAGGTACGAGCAAGTTGAAAGGACATCTGTTGAATGCACAGTGCTTCCCGGTATCGAATGCTTCGGAGATCGGAAGTTTCGACGTGAAGGCTTTCCCTGCATCAACTACCGTGGTCACTACTTCACCACCACTCTGCTGTACAGTGTATTGCTGGGTTTTTTGGGAATGGATCGGTTTTGCCTCGGGAAAACAGGAACTGCCGTCGGGAAACTGCTCACTTTGGGAGGAGTAGGCATTTGGTGGATCGTCGATATTGTGCTGCTGATCGTTGGTATCTTACGTCCGGAGGACAATAGCAACTGGGTTCCCTACGCTTGAGTTTTATCGCGGAGACAGAAGAGCCAACGATGGATTTGAAACCTCTCATCACGTGTAAGTTTCGTTTTAGACGAAGACCACCAAGAAGAAAAAAAAATGTCCACATAATTGGAAGAAAGCCGAAAAGCCTCCATCACCTCTTGTTTTGCTAGATTGCATATTTGTCTGCTGAAGTGTATGTTCTATTTGTGGCATTAAACGGCTTTGGGCGTGACTGAATCAACTATTTCCATCCCTGAAGTGCTGAAGATATCTGTGTTTTATCAATGAGCTTATTTTAATGATTGTAATTGGTTGAGTATTCAAGTTACGAAGCATTTATGCCAAAAGAAGGCCGTTTTATTCTGTCAGAAACCATGTACATACATTTTTTTAGATACCGGAAGCCTTCATTTGTTCGGTGGATTGGAGACCCATTTGGTGAACGGGATACCCTTGGAATCGATCGAATGGAGGCGATCATACGGTCGACCCCCGAAAACA